TCCAGGTGAGAGTCGCTCAATGTGGATGACGAGGCCCCGCCCCCCTCCCCCCGTACGCTGTCCTGGTTTTGACAAACACAAATCTGGTCACACTGACCTGTATTCACCTGAGTCATGTCTTTTAATCCAATTAGTGCAGATAGTAATAATAATGATGATCATTTTAATACAAAAACGTTCATGATTCATCGATAATCGATCATTTATTCTTCTGACGATCGATTAAAAACATTTCATCGAATGCCCGTCTCTACTATTACTAATCTGCATCAATAAATTCAACTTTACGACATATAAACATAACGACTCTAGATCCACATCAGCTGTTTGACATTATAATGTGTTTAATTCAGTTTTGTTCAAATCTCACAGAAACAAAACTTAAAACCACATCACTAATTTACATAAACTAAGTGAAGATAAAACTCCAGCTCTTGTGTCGCTGATGTGGTTCAACTTGTGTTGGACTCAGTGGAATATGAGTGTTCTCTCTGTGTCAGAGGGGTGTTCTCCTGTGTGTCAGAGGGGTGTTCTCTCTGTGACAGAGGGGTGTTCTCTCTGTGTCAGAGGGGTGTTCTCTCTGTGTCAGAGGGGTGTTCTCTCTGTGACAGAGGGGTGTTCTCTCTCTGTGTCAGAGGGGTGTTCTCTCTGTGTCAGAGGGGTGTTCTCTCTGTGTGTCAGAGGGGTGTTCTCTCTCTGTGTCAGAGGGGTGTTTCTCTCTGTGTCAGAGGGGTGTTCTCTCTGTGTCAGAGGGGTGTTCTCTCTGTGTCAGAGGGGTGTTCTCTCTGTGTCAGAGGGGTGTTCTCTCTGTGTCTGTGTGACAGAGGGGTGTTCTCTCTGTGTCAGAGGGTGTTCTCTCTGTGTCAGAGGGGTGTTTCTCTCTGTGTGTCAGAGGGGTGTTCTCTCTCTGTGACAGAGGGGTGTTCTCTCTGTGTCAGAGGGGTGTTCTCTCTGTGACAGAGGGGTGTTCTCTCTGTGTGTCAGAGGGGTGTTCTCTCTGTGTCAGAGGGGTGTTCTCTCTGTGTCAGAGGGGTGTTCTCTCTGTGTCAGAGGGTGTCTCTCTGTGTCAGAGGGGTGTTCTCTCTGTGTCAGAGGGGTGTGTCTCTCTGTGTGTCAGAGGGGTGTTTCTCTCTGTGACAGAGGGGTGTTCTCTCTCTGTGTCAGAGGGGTGTTCTCTCTGTGACAGAGGGGTGTTCTCTCTCTGTGTCAGAGGGGTGTTCTCTCTGTGTCAGAGGGGTGTTCTCTCTCTGTGTCAGAGGGGTGTTCTCTCTGTGTGTCAGAGGGGTGTTCTCTCTGTGTCAGAGGGGTGTTTCTCTGTGTCAGAGGGGTGTTCTCTCTGTGTGACAGAGGGGTGTTCTCTCTCTGTGTCAGAGGGGTGTTCTCTCTGTGTCAGAGGGTGTTCTCTCTGTGTCAGAGGGGTGTTCTCTCTGTGTGTCAGAGGGGTGTTTCTCTCTGTGACAGAGGGGTGTTCTCTCTGTGACAGAGGGTGTTCTCTCTCTGTGTCAGAGGGGTGTTCTCTCTGTGTCAGAGGGGTGTTCTCTCTGTGTGTGACAGAGGGGTGTTCTCTCTGTGTCAGAGGGGTGTTCTCTCTGTGTCAGAGGGGTGTTCTCTCTGTGTGACAGAGGGGTGTTCTCTCTGTGTCAGAGGGGTGTTCTCTCTGTGTCAGAGGGGTGTTCTCTCTCTGTGTCAGAGGGGTGTTCTCTCTGTGTCAGAGGGGTGTTCTCTCTGTGACAGAGGGGTGTTCTCTCTGTGTCAGAGGGGTGTTCTCTCTGTGTCAGAGGGGTGTTCTCTCTGTGTCAGAGGGGTGTTCTCTCTGTGTCAGAGGGTGTTCTCTCTGTGTCAGAGGGGTGTTCTCTCTGTGTGTCAGAGGGGTGTTCTCTCTGTGTCAGAGGGGTGTTCTCTCTGTGTCAGAGGGTGTTCTCTCTGTGTCAGAGGGGTGTTCTCTCTGTGTCAGAGGGGTGTTCTCTCTGTGTCAGAGGGGTGTTCTCTCTGTGTCAGAGGGGTGTTCTCTCTGTGACAGAGGGGTGTTCTCTCTGTGTCAGAGGGTGTTCTCTCTGTGTGTCAGAGGGGTGTTCTCTCTGTGTCAGAGGGGTGTTCTCTCTGTGACAGAGGGGTGTTCTCTCTGTGTGACAGAGGGTGTGTTCTCTCTGTGTCTCTCTGACAGAGGGGTGTTCTCTCTGTGTCAGAGGGGTGTTCTCTCTTGTGAGAGGGTGTTCTCTCTGTGTGACAGAGGGGTGTTCTCTCTGTGTCAGAGGGGTGTTCTCTCTGTGTGACAGAGGGGTGTTCTCTCTGTGACAGAGGGGTGTCTCTCTCTGTGACAGAGGGTGTTCTCTGTGACAGAGGGGTGTCTCTCTGTGTCAGAGGGGTGTTCTCTCTGTGACAGAGGGGTGTTCTCTCTGTGTCAGAGGGTGTTCTCTCTGTGTCAGAGGGGTGTTCTCTCTGTGACAGAGGGTGTTCTCTCTGTGACAGAGGGGTGTCTCTCTCTGTGACAGAGGGGTGTTCTCTCTGTGACAGAGGGGTGTTCTCTCTGTGTCAGAGGGGTGTTCTCTCTGTGTCAGAGGGGTGTTCTCTCTGTGTCAGAGGGGTGTTCTCTCTGTGACAGAGGGGTGTTCTCTCTGTGACAGAGGGGTGTTCTCTCTGTGTCAGAGGGGTGTTCTCTCTGTGACAGAGGGGTGTTCTCTCTCTGTGTCAGAGGGGTGTTCTCTCTGTGACAGAGGGTGTTCTCTCTGTGACAGAGGGGTCTCTCTCTGTGACAGAGGGGTGTTCTCTCTGTGACAGAGGGGTTTCTCTCTGTGACAGAGGGTTGTTCTCTCTGTGTCAGAGGGGTGTTCTCTCTGTGTCAGAGGGGTGTTCTCTCTGTGACAGAGGGTGTTCTCTCTGTGACAGAGGGGTGTTCTCTCTGTGTCAGAGGGGTGTTCTCTCTGTGTCAGAGGGGTGTTCTCTCTGTGTGACAGAGGGGTGTTCTCTCTGTGTGACAGAGGGGTGTTCTCTCTCTGTGTCAGAGGGGTGTTCTCTCTGTGTGACAGAGGGGTGTTCTCTCTGTGTCAGAGGGGTGTTCTCTCTGTGTCAGAGGGGTGTTCTCTCTCTGTGACAGAGGGGTGTTCTCTCTGTGTCAGAGGGGTGTTCTCTCTGTGTGTCAGAGGGGTGTTCTCTCTGTGTCAGAGGGTGTGTTCTCTCTGTGACAGAGGGTGTTCTCTCTGTGTCAGAGGGGTGTTCTCTCTGTGTGTCAGAGGGGTGTTCTCTCTGTGTCAGAGGGGTGTTCTCTCTGTGTCAGAGGGGTGTTCTCTCTGTGTGACAGAGGGGTGTTCTCTCTGTGTGTGTTCAGAGGGGTGTTCTCTCTGTGACAGAGGGGTGTTCTCTCTGTGTGACAGAGGGTGTTCTCTCTGTGACAGAGGGGTGTTCTCTCTGTGTCAGAGGGGTGTTCTCTCTGTGTCAGAGGGTGTTTCTCTCTCTGTGTCAGAGGGGTGTTCTCTCTGTGTGACAGAGGGGTGTTCTCTCTGTGTCAGAGGGGTGTTCTCTCTGTGTCAGAGGGGTGTTCTCTCTGTGACAGAGGGTGTTCTCTCTGTGTCAGAGGGTTGTTCTCTCTGTCACTTATGTTCAACTTCTGCCAAACAAAATGTTGATATTTCTGGGAAACATCTAAAATCAGCTAAATTACCTTAAAGTTTAAAAAATGATGATGGGATTTGCATTATTAAATATGATGATGATTGTTACAGCGCCACACACAGGTGCAGCAGGAGAAGCACATCGTTTTCACTCCGGACGAGAACATTTACTGATCCGACTCGTGTGGGGACGGGAGCTTTTTTCAGCTCACAAAAAAAAAATATCCAGGAGCGTCGTCGTGTGGACGTAGCCCTAGTCTAGACCTCGTTCAGTCCTGGTCTAGTCCTGGTTCAGTCCTGGTCCAGTCCTGGTCCAGTCCTGGTTTAGTCCTGGTCTAGTCCTGGTTCAGTCCTGGTCTAGTCCTGGTCTAGTCCTGGTTCAGTCCTGGTCAGTCCTGGTTCAGTCCTGGTTTAGACTCACGTTTGTGGGCGTAGTCCTGGTTTAGTCCTGGTTTAGTTCTCGGTCTAAAGGGACTGGATCTCTGGTACTGCCAGGGAGGAGAGAGGAAGAGGAGAGGAGGAGCAGCCTGAGGTTCAGAGGAAGAAGAAGAAGAAGAGAGAAAAAGAGAGAAACAGAGAGAGAGAGAAACAGAGAGAGGAGACAAAAATATATAGAGAGAGACAGACACAAAAGAGAGAGAAAGAGAGAAAGACACACAAAAAGAGACAGAAGGAGGAGACAGAAAGAGAAAGCGAGACACAGAGAGAAAGAGACAGAGGAGAGACAAAAATATATACAGAGACAGAGAAACAGAGAGAGAGACAGAGAGAAAGAGACTCACAAAGAGGGAGAGACACACACAGAGAAAAAGAGACAGAGACAGAGAAAGAGACACAAAGAGAGAAACAGAGTGAGAGGCACAAAAGAGAAAGAGAGAAACACAAAGAAAGAGCAGCACAAACAGAGAGAGAGAAAGAGAGAAACAGAGAGACATAAGTTTAAACAAAGACAGGTTTTATAGAAAAGCTCAGTGAGGAAACATGGGAGGAAAGAGTCCAGAACCTTCTATTTTCTTCTATTTTCTTCTATTTTTGTTGTATTTTTGACACTTTAACAACATAAATCATCATTCTTCCTTGAGCTGTGAGTAAATGTTTGTGTTTCAGACAAAAAGAGAAAAACAGGACGCAGCGTTTGAGTTTCAGATCATTTTTTAAAATATTAAAAGAAGAATTGAAATGTTGTTGTTGTTGCAGTTGAGGCAGTGGCCTGTAGGGGGAGCACTTGTCCTGTGTTTTTGGCCTTTTTCAAGTCGATCTGTTCAAATAAAACTCTGCACGTTGTTTTTAGTGTAAGTCCATAAATATCCTGAAGAACTGCTGTGTCTGTGCTTCTCTCTAAAGATGATAATCCTGTTTTAAATGTTTTTTTTTATTGTTTTGACACTTTACCGTGTTCCAGGGCGTCTGGGATGCGACGCTCTCCGTCTCTTTCTCTCTGGTCTGAGTCTGGACCTCGGTCGTCTCCACGTCCCCACAGCGACACCTGCTGGACACTTCTGCTGCGTCGCTCTGTCCACACAACGGCTTATTTTTAGGATTTAACTTTAGTTTTAAAATCTGATATGGACAGTGTTGGAGTAACAGATTACATGTACCAGAGTAATCAGAGTACAAATGATGAGTAACTGTATTCAGTTACAGTTACAGTTTCAGTGAGAGGTAATTGGATTACAGTTACTTTGTTGAAATAAATGGATTAAACACAGAGGGATTTTACTGTTTTTGCATTTTGGGCTAAATCCCTTTTTTTTTTTTGGTAATTCCACACACTGCCTGAAACTAAACCAGGACTAAACCAGGACTAAACCAGGACTAAACCAGGTCTAAACCAGGTCTAAACCAGGACTAAACCAGGTCTAAACCAGGTCTAAACCAGGTAAACCAGGACTAAACCAGGTCTAAACCAGGACTAAACCAGGTCTAAACCAGGACTAAACCAGGACTAAACCAGGTCCTAAACCAGGTCTAAACCAGGTCTAAACCAGGACTAAACCAGGACTAAACCAGGACTAAACCAGGACTAAACCAGGTCTACTAAACCAGGACTAAACCAGGTAAACCAGGTAAACCAGGACTAAACCAGGAAACCAGTGTGGACTAAACCAGGACTAAACGGACTTAAACCAGGTCTAAACTTCCAGGTCTAAACCAGTTAAACCAGGTCTAAACCATCAATAAACCATATTTTAAATAATTTGGTTCAGTAAAGTTTGGACTTTTTATTTTCTTTTATCAGACAAAACTTCTTATGTGAAGATTTCCTCGTCTTTGTTTCTCTACAGCAAATCAAGTAATCCAAAGTAATCAGATTACATTACTCACTTTAAGTAATTTAATGGATTTCGTTACAAACTACATTTTGGTGTGAGTAATCTGTAATCTGTAGGGGATTACATTTGAAAAGTAAACTTCCCAACACTGGATAAAAACACGACGTGTATGAAAATATGTTTTAATCGAGTCATTTTCAAATGTGTAAAATATTCAGAGTTTTGTGTAAATGTTTGAAATACCAGCTGCTGTGAGAGCTGAGCGATGGTTCGGTCTCGACTCCTCACTTCCTCTCGGAGCTGAAGCACTTCCTGTAGCAGCACCTCCACCTGAACAGCAAAGCATCGTGGGAAATGGAGTTTAAACACTTCACGGCACAAAAAAGAGTCTAGACACTCCACCCAAACAGAACAGAACTGAGAACAGTGTAAAAGTCCTGGTCTAGTCCTGGTCTGGTCCTGGTCTGGTCCTGGTCTAGTCCTGGTCTGGTCCTGGTCTGGTCCTGGTCTGGTCCTGGTCTGGTCCTGGTCTGGTCCTGGTCTGGTCCTGGTCTGGTCCTGGTCTGGTCCTGGTCTGGTCCTGGTCTGGTCCCTGGTCTGGTCCTGGAGTCCTGGTCTGGTCCTGGTCTGGTCTGGTCCTGGTCTGGTCTAGTCCTGGTCTGGTCCTGGTCTGGTCCTGGTCCTGGTCCCTGGTCTGGTCCTGGTCCTGGTCTGGTCCTGGTCCTGGTCTAGTCCTGGTCTGGTCCTGGTAGTCCTGGTCTAGTCCTGGTCTGGTCCTGGTCTGGTCTGGTCTGGTCTAGTCCTGGTCTAGTCCTGGTCTAGTCCTGGTCTCTGGAGTCCTGGTCCCTGGTCTGGTCCTGGTAGTCCTGTGTCTGTGGTCAGTGTGTCTTCATCTGCATCGTCCTCCTGAAAAACACAAATTAAATCTGAATTATTTTAAATAAACCTGCACAGACAAAAACATTGTGCTCATTTTTACAGGAAACAGTTGTTTTTGTTTTTTTTGCTTAATTCCTTAATAATTTTCTAGTGGTGTGTGGGCTCGCCTCTCCACAGATCTGACCTGTAACTTTTCTTAGTGGTGTCACATGTTTGTCTCTGTGGAGATTTATTTCTTTGAAACATCTCAGGGAAATTAACATTTTAATTTCTCCAGAAAAGTTGCACAGTGCATCTTTATAGTTGCTATGGCAGACATGTCAAACTCAGGCCCGGGGGCCAAATCTGGCCCATGAGATCAAATCAAATCTGTATCAGACTATAGAGACATTTATTTATTTTAAATGTTATTATTTTATATATCTGTGTATATCTATAAATCTGTTTGTTCTGGATTCAGTGTTTAACCAAAACTATGATTAAACATTTAAGGTTTAACGTTACAGATCTGTACAGAAGAGAAAACATGCAGATAGTGTTGAAATATTTCACTAAATATTTAGTTTGACCACGACTTAGTCCCAGTTTTTAATTTTGGCCTTTGTGATTTTGAGTTTGACTCGTCTGTGCTGTGACGTCCTTTAGTCCACTTCAGTATAAAGAGACATTAAACTCCTGAAGTTTTACTCTGCCAAAAAAAACCCTCCAGAGTGGGCGGTGCCAGCGCGTTGGGGGGTGTGGGGCTCTGGAGCGATGATTGACAACCGGCCGACAGCCACAATAATCCAACACAGCCTGGACCACTGTGCTCCGAACAACACAACCATTAGTGCTCGGATCACACAGTGTCCCTTTTCTCCAGACACGGCGGGACATGGAGGTGCCCGGTGATGCCCGGTGATGCCCGGTGATGCCCGGTGATGCCCGGTGATGCCCGGTGATGCCCGGTGATGCCCGGTCGGGGCTGAGAGGAACTCCTCACGTCCCGCCCGTAGACGCCAGTGTCTGTGCTCGTCACGTAATAACCTGCATCTGACTCACTGGCGCCGTTAGTCCAACCCAAAAACTCAACTGTCCTGACTGTAGTTGATCCTAAAGAGGTCGATACAGACACGAATTTGACCCGTTTTTTACAAATCTGCACTAAAATGCCAAAAAAATAAGACCAGAGACAGAGACACATTTCTGTTTGTGATTTTGATTCTTTAAAAGTCTATGGAAGCTGCAGTTCACAGTCTGACCTGCAGGAGGAGCAGTTTCTGCAGATATTCCAGTTGAGATTTGACGGCAGAACAGTCGTCCACCAGCTCCTCCACGTCCACACCCAGATCAGGACACTTCACACTGACACACACAGAGAAACAGACACAGAGAGTTTAGATTTTACACTTTTGAAGAGGGAGAAAAAACAGAGGGATTTAACTCTTTCCCCCCCGGACGCCGACTAAGAACAACCCACAAATACAAAAGAAAACAGACTTCAACCAGTGGTTATAAAGGATTTTTACACTCATGAACTTTATTGTAACACAGACATATTTGTATCTCTGGAAACTTTAGACTCTGAACTCTTCATTTCTGGATGTTTATATGTGATTCATTCATTTACAGGTTTATAACAGCTCACTGAAAATGAGAGTTTACCTGGTCAGGTGCAAAATCAACAACAAAAACCTACATTCAGCATCTGATATCTGCAGGTTCTGAGAACTATATTCATAAACAAATGTAAAAAATATATTTGTCTAAGTATTTAAACAGATTTCATATCACCAAGTGTTCACCTGTTTTTACCTGTTGTTCACCTGTGTGCACCTAATTAGTTTTTTCCATTTAACTTATTCAACTCATTTATCTTATTATAATATAATAATATAATAATAAAACTCTTCCCCGTCAGTGTGTGTTCAGTATTTGTCATCTTGGTCACTTTCTCATGCACAGAGCTCCACATAAGTGTTTGTTTCTGTAGTGATTCTGTCAAACATCACATCTTGGAAAAAAAAAAAGACTGAAATATTTTAAAGGACTCGTCTGAGAAACATCCAGATTTTGGGGCAGTTTTGGTTCATAATCGAGTATAAAGTCCTGGATAGTTTGTTCAGATATTGCAGGACTCCACACAGACACATCTCATCTTCGTAAGATTCACTCTGTGAAAGTTCGTCGCTGTTTTCCACTTTATAATCAACTTCAACATCATTTTGAAATCTATAAAAGTCACTTTCTCTAAACTTATCCATAAAATACGTCTGCTCCTCATTATTTCCGCCATCTTTCCATTGCTCGCGTTTCGTGTTGTGTTTTTTCCAAAAGACAATCGTCACAACTTTGATTCACTTCGGAAAAAATCGGCGAAAACATATCCTTGAATCTTATTGGTCAGTCTAGTTTGGGTTGTAGTGGCCCCGACCAATCACAGCCTCTGTTTACATGTGAAAAACTGGACCCGTTTCTAATGGAGCGAAGGAGTTAAAAGACGTCATTAAGGAAACAAGGAGGTCGTCACGTGTCGTCTTCACGGGGAAAAGAGTTAAAGAGATTTTCCTTGTATTGTAAATGCAGAAAGGGCCTGTATAAAACTCTGTGGGAGATTCACGGTTTTTGAAAGAAACTTCCAAACTTCTGCTCCACAAATGTTTCTCCTTCTCGCTCTTTGTTTGGAATCAGCTCCACAAACTTAAACTCCTTTCAGCTGAAACGTTCTCGTCTTTGTGGTTGAATAACGGCTCCACTTTATGAAGCGAGAATCATTTGGATCATTTCAGTCCTGGAACTGCCAAATCTCTACTGAACTTTGAGGAGGTAACAACATTAGAACGAGACTTGAAGCTCACGGGGGTCAGTTTTGTGGAACATAAAACCTTTAATATCTTCACTGGTGAAATAAAAGTGGATTTTAAACACTGTGGTGAATAATATGAAGAAGTTAAAGAGAATAAAACGGCTCTGACCTGCTGAGGCACAGGTCCAGACTGAGCTCGGACTCCTTCCTCTTGCTCTGCTGCTCCTCGCTCACTTTGTCCGTGTGAAACTCACTGAAAACAAAACAAAAAAACACCGCAATAAAGCTTTAACTTCAGCCCCGAGCGCAGGTTTGATGTGCGGCCTGCAGATGGCGCCGTCCTCACCTGTCTGCGGTTCCCCAACACAGCTGCCTCCTCCTCCACTCGGCCATGTGGGTCCCTCCGTCTGAACCAAAGAGGAAACGAATTAATGCCAAACGGCAAAACAGATTCTCCTCGTGTCTGTGGTGGGAACTTTTGTCGCACGTTTAAAAATCGTTTCAGACAAAAAAAATCCTGTAGTGTGTGAAATCTGCCCGGGACCAGACCGGGACCGGACCGAGACCGGACCGGGACCAGACCGGGACCAGACCGAGACCGGGACCGGACCGGGACCGGACCGAGACCGGGACCGGGACTGGGACCAGGACCAGAGTAAAGTAGAGGAGGACAGAGTCTGGTGTGGTCCTGGTCTGTGGGTTTATTCTGGTCTGTGTCTTGTGTCTGTGTTTAATATCGTCTCGTTTCCCGCGGTAACAGTGAGTGTTTCCTCCATGTTGAGTCAAAGTTCTCGTTTGTCTCTGTTTTATTTGTCGCTGTCAGAACTCGGCCCCTGATTGGTTGATGTGACGCAAATATCCATAAAAAGTTCTAATTTTTCAACTTTGGTGAATATCGCGAGTCCCTCCCTTTTAAGAATTTGCACGTCAATGTCAGTTTCACAAATTCACGCTGCTCATTTCTCCTATTCGCATCATTTAAAACAGGTGAATCGCGTCGCCCTGTTTCACACTGCAGACATTTATTCACGAGTCAACGCGCCTTTACACAGAGTTAACATGTAAATCATTCACGTAGTTCGCACCACACAGGTCACACAGGTCACACAGGTCACACAGGTCACACAGGTCACACAGGTCACACAGGACACACAGGTCACACAGGTCACACAGGACACACAGGACACACACACAGGTCACACAGGTCACACACAGGTCACACAGGTCACACAGGACACACACACAGGTCACACAGGTCACACAGGTCACACAGGTCACACAGGTCACACAGGTCACACAGGTTCACACAGGTCACACCACAGGTCACACAGGTCACACACAGGACACACAGGACACACAGGTCACACAGGACACACAGGTCACACAGGTCACACAGGTCACACAGGTCACACAGGTCACACAGGTCACACAGGTCACACAGGTCACACAGGTCACACAGGTCACACAGGACACACAGGTCACACAGGTCACACAGGTCACACAGGTCACACAGGTCACACAGGACACACAGGTCACACAGGACACACAGGTCACACAGGACACACAGGTCACACAGGTCACACACACAGGACACACAGGTCACACAGGACACACAGGTCACACAGGACACACAGGACACACAGGACACACAGGTCACACAGGTCACACAGGTCACACAGGTCACACAGGACACACAGGACACACAGGACACACAGGACACCACAGGACACACAGGTCACACAGGTCACACAGGTCACACAGGTCACACAGGTCACACAGGACACACAGGTCACACAGGTCACACAGGTCACACAGGTCACACAGGACACACACACCACAGGTCACACAGGTCACACACAGGACACCACAGGACACACAGTCACACAGTCACACAGACACACAGTCACACAGGTCACACACAGGTCACACAGGACACACAGGTCACACAGGTCACACAGGTCACACAGGTCACACAGGTCACACAGGTCACAAGGTTCACACAGGACACACAGGTCACACAGGACACACACAGGTCACACACACAGGTCACACAGGTCACACAGGACACACACACAGGTCACACAGGTCACACAGGACACACAGGTCACAACAGGACACACACAGGTCACACAGGACACACAGGACACACAGGACACACAGGTCACACAGGTCACACAGGACACACAGGTCACACAGGTCACACAGGTCACACAGGTCACACAGGTCACACAGGTCACACAGGTCACACACACAGGTCACACAGGTCACACAGGTCACACAGGTCACACAGGTCACACAGGTCACACAGGACACACAGTGCATCATGTTTATTTCAGTATAAATATAAACCAGGGGGCACATTTCTAAACACAGATGAAGCAGATTCTGATCGAGGGCCACAGACTGATGATCAGAACAGGAATAATTGAAATCTGTGCAGGTTTAACACGTTCGCATGAACCATCAGACTTTATTCACGCTCAGATCCTTAAAACCAAACACTTAATATTAAATGAGTTTATCAAGGTAGATTTTCAAAAAACTTGCAGTAAAAATATATTTTTTTAAATGATTCAAGGTCATTTGGACCAATTCACCTGGAGGCCTGAGGGCCAAGAACAATTTGTCTGAGGGCTGCATTTGGCCCCCGGGCCATAGTTTGGACATGACTGATATAAATATATAAAGTATAATAAGTGAGTTGTACCACTGGTGAGCGAGTGCTCCTCAGGGAAATCCACGTCCAACATCAGGTCATCTTCATCCAGGTCACATGACTCCAGGTCGTTTAACGCGTCCTGACACAAAAAAGAAACAAGTTCAAATAAAAACACGAAGGAACAAACTCGATACAGATTCTGATATTATGATAATAATAAAATAACTCTTTTTTAAACATTATCATGTTGATTTTCCACGTTAAATGGTGCAACTTTCTATTCCCACGTGTTGTTTTATCTGTGAAATCACTCAGTGGTCCAGGTCTAAACCAGGTCTAAACCAGGTCTAAACCAGGTCTAAACCAGGTCTAAACCAGGTCTAAACCAGGTCTAAACCAGGTCTAAACCAGGTCTAAACCAGGTCTGGTCCAGGTCTGGTCCAGGTCTAAACCAGGTCTAAACCAGGTCTAAACCAGGTCTAAACCAGGTCTAAACCAGGTCTAAACCAGGTCTGGTCCAGGTCTGGTCCAGGTCCGTGGGCGTACACTAGTTCTAAACACATTCAGGAAAGATTCTGCTCTGTCTTTTTTAGTATCGATACCTGTGAAAAAAGAGGATCTGTTCTAGTTTTAATATCGTTTCGTGGGTGGTTTTCGATATGGTTTCGTGGGTGGTTTTCGATATGGTTTCGTGGGTGGTTTTCGATATGGTTTCGTGGGTGGTTTTCGATATGGTTTCGTGGGTGGTTTTCGATATGGTTTCGTGGGTGGTTTCGATATTTCTTTCAGCCCTGATGATCTCTGGGGATAAACGTCTGTGTGATTAAACTGACTCTTTCCAGAAGGTGTCGGGGTCACAGCGGGTGTAGAACAGAGTCACTGCTGAAGGGGAAACTGACGACGGAAACGAGGCCCAAAAATATTTCATTAAGTTCAGAAACAAGTCTGGGCAAGGTTCAGCGTTTAAAAACACATTCCACCTTTAACAGTAACGAAAAAACAAGCAGGTGTGGTTTAGGTCTATTTTAGTCCTGGGTTGGGTCTAGTTTAGACCTGGTTTAGTCCTCGTTTAGACCTGGTTTAGACCTGGTTTTGACCTGGTTTAGACCTGGTTAAATCCTGGTTTATTCCTAATTTAAGTCTTTGTTTAGTCCTGGTTAAGTACTGGTTGAGTGCAGGTTTAGTCTTGGTTTAGACCTGGTTTAGACCTGGTTTATATCTGGTTTAGATCTGGTTGAAGTTGTTGTTAAGTCCTGGTTTGTTCCTGATTTAAGTCTTTGTTTAGTCCTGGTTTAGTCCCATTTCGGTCCTGGTTCGGTCCTGGTTTAGTCCCGGTTTAGTCCCGGTTTAGTCCCGGTTTAGTCCTGGTTCAGTCCTGTTTTAGTCCTGGTTCGGTCCTGGTTCGGTCCTGGTTCAGTCCCGGTTCGGTCCTGGTTCAGTCCCGGTTCGGTCCTGGTTCAGTCCTGGTTCAGTCCTGGTTCGGTCCTGGTTTAGTCCCGGTTCAGTCCTGGTTCAGTCCCGGTTTAGTCCCGGTTCAGTCCTGGTTCAGTCCTGGTTTAGTCCTGGTTCAGTCCCGGTTCAGTCCCGGTTTAGTCCTGGTTCAGTCCCGGTTCAGTCCTGGTTTAGTCCTGGTTCAGTCCCGGTTCGGTCCTGGTTTAGTCCTGGTTCAGTCCCGGTTTAGTCCTGGTTTGGTCCTGGTTCGGTCCTGGTTCGGTCCTGGTTTAGTCCCGGTTCAGTCCTGGTTCAGTCCCGGTTCAGTCCTGGTTCAGTCCCGGTTTAGTCCTGGTTTAGTCCTGGTTTGGTCCCGGTCTGGTCCTGTTTTAGTCCTGGTTCAGTCCCGGTTCAGTCCTGGTTCAGTCCTGGTTCAGTCCGGTTCAGTCCCGGTTCAGTCCTGGTTCGGTCCCGGTTCAGTCCTGGTTCAGTCCCGGTTCAGTCTTGGTTCAGTCCTGGTTTAGTCCTGGTTTAGTCCCGGTTTAGTCCTGGTTTAGTCCTGGTTTCTGACTCTTACGAGGCTGCTGATGTCCGAGTGCAGACTTCCCACGTGGAGCGAGTCGGTCCGGTCTAGTCTCGGTTTGGTCTGGACCTGGTTTTGGTGGAGTCCAGAGTTGGTCCGGGCCGAGACCTGGTCCGGGGACTGAGCCGGGATGGGGACGGCGCCCCCTAGAGGCTCCACCTCCTCGTCCCAGAGAAAGGTTCCCCCAGAGCCACAGCTGTCGGACGGAGACAGGTCCAGAGAAGAGCCGCACTGGAGAGAAAAACCAGACGTTCAGAAACTCAGGATTTTAATTTAACGTCACGTTTATGCGATGACAGAACAGAAAACACAAAAGCAGCGTCACGTCTTTTTTTATTCCACGTTTAGACGAGTGTTTTTATTAGGATCTGCTGCACGCGGTGACGCAAAAGTGTGTGGAACTGGATTGTGTTTACATGTCAGGCTGTTTTAGTCCTGGTTTAGTCCTGGTTTAGTCCTGGTTTAGTCCTGGTTTAGTCCTGTTTTAGTCCTGGTTTAGTCCTGGTTTAGTCCTGGTTTAGTCCTGGTTTAGTCCTGGTTTAGTCCTGGTTTAGTCCTGTTATAGTCCTGTTATAGTCCTGTTATAGTCCTATTATAGTCTCTGGTTTAGTCCTGGTTTAGTCTCTGGTTTGGTCCCGGTTTAGTCCCGGTTTAGTCCCGGTTTAGTCCCGGTTTAGTCCTGTTATAGTCCTGTTATAGTCCTGTTAGTCCTGGTTTAGTCCTGTTTAGTCCTGGTTTAGTCCTGTTTAGTTTTTAGTCCTGTTTAGTCCTTTTAGTCCTGTTTAGTCCTGGTAGTCCTGGTTTAGTCCTGGTTTAGTCCTGTTTAGTCCTGTTAGTTTTTAGTCCTGGTTTAGTCCTGGTTTAGTCCTGGTTTAGTCCGGTTTAGTCTGTTTAGTCCTGGTTTAGTCCTGGTTTAGTCCTGGTTTAGTCCTGTTATAGTCCTGTTATAGTCCTGGTTTAGTCCTGGTTTAGTCCTGGTTTAGTCCTGGTTTAGTCCTGTTATAGTCCTGGTTTAGTCTCTGGTTTAGTCCTGGTTTAGTCCTGTTAGTCCTGTTATAGTCCTGGTTTAGTCCTGGTTTAGTCTCTGGTTTAGTCCTGGTTTAGTCCTGTTTTAGTCCTGTTATAGTCCTGGTTTAGTCTCTGGTTTAGTCCTGGTTTAGTCCTGTTATAGTCCTGTTATAGTCCTGGTTTAGTCTCTGGTTTAGTCTCTGGTTTAGTCCTGGTTTAGTCCTGGTTTAGTCCTGGTTTAGTCCCGGTTTAGTCCTGACCGTAGACTCTGACGTTATTTGTGTAAATTAAAAACACAGAGGAGCATTTCGGGCCTGACCTGATGACATCATGAGGTGTAACGTCGTGTCGTGTCGTGTCGTGAGTCAGTGTGAGCGGAAAGTGAAGGACACGGTGTGAAAGTCAAGTCATTATCTCAGACTCGTCCGTGTGTCAGACTGAAGGAGCGTCTCACTGAAACTGAACCTTCCTCAAACGTGACTCACGACGACGACTCACCACACTGTGATGTCATCAGGGGAGATTAAGATTTTAAGAGTGAACGAGCCTGTGCAGGACGATTAAATAAAACCCAAGAGGTGAAGAAATTGGTCAAAATAAAATGTTAAAACCAGTTAAACCAGACGTATGACACCTGTGTGAGGCCGAGATTTATAATCTGTCAATCTTTCTGTTAGAATCTGGGAGTTTTAAATCACAATATTACAGAAGCCGAGAGGGTCACAACAAACACAAACACCACAACAAACACAACAAACAAACACAAACACCACAACAAACACAAACACCACAACAAATACAAACACCACAACAAACACAAACACCACAACAAAACACAACACACAACAAACAACAAACACAACACCACAACACAAACACAAACAAACACAACAACACAAACACACAAAAACACACAAACACAAACAACACAAACAAACACCACAACAAATACAAAAGCCACAACAAACACAAACAACACAACAAACACAAACACCACAACAAACACAAACACCACAACAAACACAAACACCACAACAACAAACACAAACACACAAACACCACAACAAATACAAACACCACAACAAATACAAACACACAACACACAACACACAAACACCACAACAAACACAAACAAACACAAACACCACAACAAACACAAACACCACAACAAACACACCAAACACACAAACACAACAAAACAAGCCACAACACAAACACAAACAACAAAAAGCCACAACGGAAATGACCATGGGACTCTATTTTAATGCAAACGCTGCAACATATACAAAAGCCACAACACAAATGCAAATGCCACAACACATTAAAAAGCCACAACAGAAGTGACCGCGGGACTCTATTTTCCGTCGGACCGATCAAGCGTCAAGTGAAGAAGAAGAACTACAACATGAAAAGTAAAGGAACGGAGAAGTTGGAAAAGTAAGTAAAAGTAATTTATTGTTTTATTGTTATTTGTTTCACGTTGTAGTTCTTCTTCTTCACTTGCCGCTTGATCGGTCCGTCAGAAAATAGAGTCCCAGTGTCCCGTGGACATTTCTGTTGTGGCTTTTTTGTTGTGTTTGTGCTTTTTTTGTTGTGTTGTGATTTTTTTTGTTGTGTTGTGACTTTTTTTGTTGTTGTTGTGCTTTTTGTTGTGTTGTGGCTTTTTATGGTGTTGTGTTTGTGCTTTTTTGTTGTGTTGTGGCTTTTTTGGTTGTGTTGTGGCTTTTTGTTGTGTTGTGACTTTTTTGTGTGTGGCTTTTTTGTGTTGTGGCTTTTTTATGTGTTGTGGCTTTTTTATGTGTTGTGGCTTTTTTATGTGTTGTGGCTTTTTGTTAATGTGTTGTGGCTTTCTGTTGTGTTGCGGCGTTTGCGTTCCTTGTGACCCTCTCGGCCTCTGTACAATATTGATCTAAATTTACGACTTAATAAAAGAAACAAAAGCGCCGACTTCCAGGAGCAGCAGCACTTTCCTTTTCATGTGGTTTTATTCTGATTCTGTGAGTGTTTCTCTGTGTCTGTGAGGAAAATAAACCCTCAGACTCTGACCTGACTGTGACTCGACCTCCTCCGACGACCAAGTCTCCGCAGAGGATGATCCCTGTCTGCAGCACAAACACAGACGAGAAGGTCACAGGAGGAGAAGAGGACTGAACCAGGTCTAAAACAGGACTAAAACAGGACTAAAACAGGACTAAACCAGGACTAACTTAGGTCTAAACCAGGACTGAACCAGAACTAGACCGGGACTGAACCCAGGGACTAAACCAGGGACTAAACCAGGAATGGACCAGGATCTAAACCAGGATCTAAAAGCTTAGACCAGGTACTAAACAAAGACTAAACCAGGACTAAAACATTGACTAAACCAGGTCTAACCCAGGACCAAACTGGGACTGAATCAGGACTGAATTGGGACCAAACCAGGAATGAACCCTGGGACTAAACCAGGACTAAACTAAAAGTTTAGACCAGGTATAAGACATGAAACTAAACCGGACTAAAACTGGACTAAAACTGGACCAAATTTGGATCTATAACAAAGACTGACTAACTAAACTAAACAAGACTAACCTGGGACTAAACCAGAGTTAAACCAGGACTAAGCCAAGACTAAACCCAGGTCTAAACCAGGACTTAAACCAGGTCTAAACCACAGAGCAGAGGGTCAGAGGGTCAGAGGGTCAGGGGTCGGAGGGTCGGAGGGTCGGAGGGTCGGAGGGTCGGAGGGTCAGAGGGTCAGAGGGTCAGAGGGTCAGGGGGTCAGAGGGTCAGAGGGTCGGAGGGTCAGAGGGTCAGAGGGTCAGGGGGTCAGGGGGTCAGGGGGTCAGAGGGTCAGAGGGTCGGGGGTCAGGAGGGTCAGAGGGTCAGGGGGTCAGGGGGTCAGAGGGGTCAGAGGGTCAGGGGGGTCAGGAGGGTCGGGGGGTCGGAGTCAGGGGGTCAGGGGGTCAGAGGGTCAGAGGGTCAGGAGGGTCAGGGGGTCAGGAGGGTCGGAGGGTCAGGGGTCAGGGTCAGAGGTCGGAGGGTCAGAGGTCAGGGTCAGGGGTCAGGGGGTCAGGGGTCAGGGTCAGGGTCAGGGGTCAGGGTCGGAGGGTCAGGGTCAGGGTCAGGGTCAGGGGGGGTCAGGGGTCGAGGTCAGGGGTCAGGGTCGAGGGTCAGGGTCAGGGGGTCAGAGGGTCGGGGGTCAGGGGGTCAGAGGGTCAGGGGGTCAGGGGTCAGGGGTCAGGGTCGGAGGGTCAGGGGGTCAGGGTCAGAGGGTCAGGGTCAGAGGGTCAGGGTCAGGGGTCGGAGGGTCGGAGGGTCAGGGGGTCAGGGGGTCAGGGGGTCGGAGGGTCAGAGGTCGGAGTCAGGGGTCAGGGGGTCGGAGGGTCAGGGTCGGAGGGTCAGGGTCGGAGGGTCAGGGTCGGAGGGTCAGAGGGTCGGAGGGTCAGGGGTCAGGGTCAGGGGGGGGTCGGAGGGTCAGAGGGTCAGGGGGTCAGGGTCAGGGGGTCAGAGGGTCAGGGGTCGGAGGGTCAGGGGGGTCGGAGGTCAGAGGGTCGGAGGGTCGGAGGGTCAGGGGGTCGGAGGGTCAGGGGGTCGGAGGGTCGGAGGGGTCGGAGGTCAGGGGTCAGAGGGTCAGGGGGTCGGAGGGTCAGAGGGTCAGAGGGTCAGGGGCAGGGTCAGGGTCAGGGTCAGAGGGTCAGGGTCAGGGGGTCAGGGTCAGGAGGGTCAGAGGGTCAGGGGGTCAGGGGTCAGGGGGTCAGGGTCAGGGGGTCAGGGGTCAGAGGAGAGGGTCAGGGGGTCAGAGGGTCAGAGGGTCAGAGGGTCAGAGGGTCAGAGGGTCAGGGGGTCAGGGGGTCAGGGGAGCGGGTGGAGAAAAGCTCTGACCTCCGGCGAGTCTGATGTGATTCCAGTCCAGCCCGTCGTCGAGGAAACACAGCTCCGTTGCCGTGGAGACGCCGTTGACGACCACCCTGTCTTCGTCGTCGTGGAAACGGGACCGGTCCAGACCCGAGTCCTCGTCGTCGTTCTGAGCGCACGAGGTCAGCAGCATCCCCACTCCTCCGTTACCTGCCAGAGGAAAAAACACAAACGGACTGCTGTAGAAAATGTTCCACCGTACGGCTTTAAACTTTCGCTTTTTTAAATCTATCTCCACAGAAAAGAAGAAGATACAAGTCAGATCTGTGGACAGGTGACCCTGCGATGGTGTAATTTATGTTTTTCACGGAACTTTGGAGCAATAAAAACATTTGTAAGTGAAAAAAATCCAAGAAAGAAAAGTTTAAAGACGGACTAAGGAACATTCCTGTAAGCTTCAACATTACCATAGAAACAAACCAGAAGACGACAGAGTAAACTTTAAATATCAGGTTAAACATGAGAATAAACCAGGACTAAACCGGTCTAAACTTGGATCCTGACACACACACGGGGGGGGGCCTGACACACACGGGGGGGGCCTGACACACACGGGGGGGGGCCTGACACACACACGGGGGGGGGGCTGACACACACCCAGGTTGTCGAAGTCGTCCATGTACTCTTGACTCGTGTCGTGATGATCCAGGGACGAGGTGGACGACAGGGACATGTCCTCCAGAGTCTCCCCCAACATCGACATCTCGTTCTGGGATCCGAGCTCCGACGAGGGGCCCCTGCAGTCTGGAGCCTCCGGAGAACTGCCTGAAAACACAGAACAGACCTGGTTTAGTCCTGGTTTAGTCCTGGTTTAGTCCTGGTTTAGACCTGGTTTAGACCTGGTTTAGTCCTGGTTTAGTCCTGGTTTAGACCTGGTTTAGTCCTGGTTTAGATCTTGGTGAAGTCTTCTTTGGTCCAAGTTTAGTCCTAGTTTGGTCCTAGTTTAATCCACAATTTAGTCCAGTTTTAGTCTTGGCTTAGTTTCATGTCTTATACCTGGTTTAAGCTTTGGTTCAGTCCTGGTTTCGATCCTGGTTTCGATTCTGGGCTAGATCCTGGTCTAGATATTGGTCTAGATACTGGTTCAATCCAAGTCTAGTCCTGATCCAGTCCTGCTTTAGTCTCTGGTTTCAGTCCTGGTTTAGTTCCTTGTTTAGATCCTGGTTTATCTTGGTTCAGTTCTGGTCCAGTCCTGGTTCAGTCCTGTGTTAGTCTCTGGTTCCGTCCCTGGTTTAGTCCTGGTTTAGTCCTGGTTTAGTCCTGGTTTAGTCCTGGTTTAGTCCTGGTTTAGTCCTGGTTCAGTCCTGGTTCAGTCCCTGGTTCAGTCCTGGTTTAGTCCTGGTTTAGTCCTGGTTCAGTCCCTGGTTTAGTTCTGGTTCAGTCCCTGGTTTAGTCCTGGTTCAGTCCCTGGTTTAGTCCTGGTTCAGTCCTGGTTTAGTCCTGGTTCAGTCCTGGTTCAGTCCTGGTTTAGTCCTGGTTCAGATCCCGTTGTACCTGGATCCGACGGCGTCTCGACAGAATCCCTCCTCTGGTTCCGTTTGGATTCGTTCTGGACTCTGATCGGTCCGGCCTCTTTGAAAACCGCCGCTCTTATTTTGAAAGTCCCTCCTCCGTTTTGTCTCGGCACCAGCGGCTTCTTCACCATCGCCGCCGGCAAAACGGACGCCGCCGCCGCCGCCGCCGCGCTTCCCGTTTTCCTCTCCGCCCTGTTGGTGGAGTACGCTCTGCTTTTCCCCGCCGGACTGGCAGCGGTGGGCGACGACTGCCTCTGCACCTGCGTCAAACTCCTCGATCGGACTTTATCCCTCGTCGTCAGCTTCCCGTTTTGCGCCGCTCCGATGCTGTCGCTGGAATGGGACCTCTCCGCCACCGGTTTCTTCACTCCCAACGGCGACGCGCTTTGCGATTTCGTTAAACTTCCGCTGTTTTGCTTTTTCGCCAAACAATTCAGCGTCGATTTCTGCGTCACTTTTGCGATTCCTGATTTGGGAATAACTTTCGGGGTTGAAACAGCGTTGGGATTCAAAACTCGAGTCTTTCCGGTGAAACCATTCGGCGATTTCTTACAGTTGCCGTTCTTCCCGGGCTTGTATTCGAAGTCGGCGGTCGCGTCTTCCACGTTTTCCTTCCTCCATTTCGCGGAGAAGTTGGTCGGCGCTCGTATGAAGCCGTTCTGTCTGGCGTTGGCGTTGATCGGGTTGGGTTTTGCGAGCAGGTTGTGGTAGAATCCGTTGCTGAGGCGGTTCGTCGTCGTCGTCGAGTGACCGCCGTTTACGGACGCGGCCTGGCCCATGTCGGCGTTGGCGGCGGTCGCGGGGGGGTTACCGGAGGAGTTCTTGGGGGTCAGCCCCGGTTTCGTGAGCCGCGACGGGGATGCGGTGAACTTGGGCAGCCTAGACACCGGAGCGGTCGTCATGACGGCGGTCGGCATGGCGACGGGAGGCGGGGCAGACATCAGGCCCCGCCCTCCTCAACATGGAGGCCGCGATGGAGAGAATCTGCAGAGACAAGAAGAAGAAAAGAACAGGTGAGTGTCGTGGCGTTTAGTTGGGATTTATCCAAATTCCTCTGTACGATATTTTCACGATATGTCACGGTACGATATTTACTGCGATATTTTGAAGAAACAGAAACAGAATTGTGAATATATTACGTTTTCTTTAAAATGTCTTGACAAGCCTTTGGTTCTGTCATAAAAGAACGAGTTAAGATCTAAAAGTGCTTCATAAGTCATTTGATTGGGCTGAAACAGAGCAGAGGATCATGGGAAATGTAGTTCTGTCTGTTTTTAGCTGTTGCTGCACCAAAACAATGAATTTAAGCAAAGAGACTTGTGTTTCGATTTATTGTGACGGTCCACGATTTTATTGACAGTCTGACGATACGATAACGTAAAACTTTATAAAGATTTGATCAGGTCTGGGGTTAAAAAGGCCACAGCTCTGGTGTTTTGTTTCATTCACATGTTTAACTCACAAACCTGCAGGTTTAGGCTGAGCTCTTCTCTGTTCCACCTTGTGATGTCATGTGGTGATTAGGGCCCCACCCATATATCGCTGGGTGATATTATGGGTCGATATGGGCACTTGGAGACGTATCGGTTCGTCCACGTGGGCAGGTTTTCCCTCGTTATAAATCTTACACTTTATATTACGTCTATTTAATCCAATTTACAGACAGATAAACGTCCCAGTACCTGGAGCCACAGCAGTATTTATCACAGGAGGCATTTGTCTGTGTCCAGTGTTGGAGTAACTACATGTACCAGAGTAATCAGAGTACAGATGATGAGTAACTGTATTCAGTTACAGTTACTTTGTTGAAATAAATGGATTACACAGCAATATCTCCCTGTTTTCACATTTTTATTTTATTTTATTTTTTTTGGTAATTCCACTCACTGCTGGAAACTAAACTAGGACTAAAACCAGGTCTAAACCAGGTCTAAACCAGGTCTAAAACAGGATTTAAACAGGACTAAACCAGGATCTAAACCAGGTCTAAACTAGATCTAAACCAGGTCTAAACTAGATCTAAACCAGGTCTAAACCAGGACTAAAACAGGATTTAACAGGACTAAACCAGGACTAAACCAGGTCTAAACCAGGTCTAAACCAGGACTAAACCCTGCTGTGTGGACGTGTCTCCTCATCTTCTATCAATAATATTTTTAATACAGTTAAATTTCCTCGTCTTTGTTTCTCTACAGCAAATCAAGTAATCCAAAGTAATCAGATTACATTACTCACTTTAAGTAATTTAATGGATTCTGTTACAAACTACATTTTGGTGAGTGTAATCTGTAATCTGTAGGGGATTACATTTTAAAAGTAAACCTTCCCAACACTGTTTGTCGTACTGCCCCTGAACGCACCACTGCTGCTGTTTCATCTCAGACTCTGACCAACACTTTTTTACAGTTTTATGTCCCACATTAAACATTATTTCCCTCCGTCTTTTTGGGACAATATTTTCACAGACGAGGAGCAGGCGCAGTCCACAGGGAGGAGACACCTGCTCTCTGGTTTAGACCTGGTCTAGTCCTAGTTTAGTCCTGGTTTACCCTGGTTTTAGTTCCTGGTTTTTTCCTGGTTTAGTCCTAGGGTTTAAGACCTGGTTTAGACCTGGTTTAGTCCTGGTTTACATCCTGGTTCAGTCCTGGTTAAGTCCTGGTTTAGACCTGGTTCCTGGTTTAGTCCTGGTTTAGTTTTTGAAGTCCTCATTCCTGGTTTTTAATCACTGATCCTCTCGACTGAACTAAAGGTAAAAGGAGCTGTTCACGTGAAAACTACCACTTCATGACATCACAAGGTGGAATGACTGGAGTTTTGGAGATGTAGACAGACTAATAATAAAGAGTCACTCAAACACGTGAATGAAACAAACCCGTGTGCAGGTCTGACTGTGTTTGAGGATGAAACATTAGAACACGACTCAAAGTTCACAGTCACTTTGGTTTTGTTTTCTGTTCTTAGTTAAAGTGTCACTTTTTATCAGTGTTATTTATCATTAACATCGTTACATAACAAAAGCGACAGGAGCGTCTGCGCTGACAGGTGAGTGTGAGAGCACCTGTCAGTCACACAGAACAAACACAGGGTCTGAGTGAAGCAGACGCTCCCCGAAAGAACCACAAAACACAAAACACACACCCAGACCACAACACAAGAACACAGGACTATACAAGGAACACCTGGTCTAGTCCTGGTCTAGACCTGGTTTAGACCTGGTCCAGACCTGGTTCAGACTCTTTCACTCAGACTGGAACAATTAACCACACAACAATACAACATTTTATATCGGAGAATCCGCAAGTCTAGTCCTGGTCCAGTTCTGGTGTAGTCCTGGTCTAGTCCTAGTCTAGTCTCAGTTTAGTCATCTTTCAGTCATGATTCAGTCCAGGTCCAGTCCTGTTTTAGTCCTGGTCTAGTCCTGGTCTAGTCTCTGCCCTGTAAATGACCCCTCCCTTGGCAAACTGCACCAAAGTCTGAGTAAAAACTGGATTTTCCTCCTCTGGTCTGGACTTTGAACACTTTCTCACGATCACACACGAGAGAGAAAAGAGACGAGAGACGAGAGGGCGGACACGGAACCACTCCCAGACCACACCTGTCTGCACCTGTCTGCACCTGTCTGCACCTGCTGCTCCTGCCTGCACCTGTCTGCTCCTGTCCTGCACCTTTTAACTCATCAAACCTCAAACACAGATGAAGCATTTCCAGTGATATTTTAAAATGCTTAAAGTTTATTTCATTGTTTTTCTGAACTAAAGTGACTGTTTTTCATGATCATATTTTTACAATTATTTTTGCTTTGCTTAATTTAATAAAAATTACTTAAAATCTGATGCAAAGTCTGGATAAACACTCTGTTCTTAAAGGTTTTAACGTGGCCCGGAGCTCAGGACGAACCCGCAGCTCTTTTCTCACATAATTTTAGTTTGAGATTTCGACATCAGATATTTTTGGGACAATTATTTTTCCGTGTTTTTTTCCTTTTATGTGAATTTCACGGTCTCGATCACATTTTAATTTGCAGATATGGGCGGACAGTGCGGTGCTCTGGTGTAACGTCCTGAAATGTCCCCGGGAGCCGCCGTAGCTCGTCACGAGAAGCTTTTATCAGACAAACGAACAGAAGCGCTTCATTCGTTCAAACGGGAGCAGAGACGTGTGATTGTGGTGAAAGGATCATCTGAACGAGCCGCGAGGAAAACTTATGTAACGGCAAAGAAAACAAACTATTACACATTTAGACTTTAGCCCCGGGTCAGTCAAGACTGAGTTTAGTCCTAGACTGGTTCAGTCCTGGTTTAGACCTGGTTTAGACCTGGTTCAGTCCTGGTTCAGTCTCGGTTTAGACCTGGTTCAGTCCCGGTTTAGACCTGGTTCAGTCCCGGTTTAGACCTGGTTTAGACCCGGTTTAGACCTGGTTTAGACCCGGTTTAGTCCTGGTTTAGACTTGGTTCAGTCCTGGTTCAGTCCTGGTTTAGTCCTGGTTCAGTCCTGGTTTAGTCCTGGTTTAGACCTGGTTTAGACCTGGTTCAGTCCTGGTTCAGTCCTGGTTTAGTCCTGGTTCAGTCCTGGTTTAGTCCTGGTTCAGTCCTGGTTTAGTCCTGGTTTAGACCTGGTTTAGTCCTGGTTCAGACCTGGTTCAGTCCTGGTTTAGTCCTGGTTCAGTCCTGGTTTAGTCCTGGTTTAGACCTGGTTTAGTCCTGGTTTAGTCCTGGTTTAGTCCTGGTTCAGTCCTGGTTCAGTCCTGGTTTAGACCTGGTTCAGTGCTGGTTTAGACCTGGTTCAGTCCCGGTTTAGACCCGGTTTAGTCCTGGTTCAGTCCTGTTCATCGACTAAAGAAACGGTCGACATAAGACACGTCCTGATCAATTATTTGACTAAAAAGGGGCGTGGCTCTGTTCATTATCTGTTTGTTTGTTTGTTTGTTTGTTTTTGAGAAATGAATAAAATCATGGTGTCACTAAAAATAATTGCGATTTCAATATTGGCCAAAATAATCATTCTAATGATTTCTTTTCCATATTTGAGCAGCTCTAGAAGAAACATTTTTCATCTCAGTGAGTTTCTCATGGTCTGATTCATCAGCTGGTTTCACTTGGTGGAAACCGTGTGACCTGCAGCATTAGGATTCGTTCACTCGACAGGAGGCGGGACTTTTTTTATTGAACCGGTCGCTGCTGTTTGGTCGTGACGTTTGTAATGATCCAAATCCTGTAGGAAGAAGAACAAGAACGACTTTCCCCGAGATCAAATTCACCAAACATTCTCTTTGTTCCGACTTTAAATCCTCGATCTCAGGAATCGTCGCCAACACAGAATGTCTGTCTTCTCTGATTGGCTGGTGCCTGACATCACACTTTTTTTACAAACCCTCTAGTGTTTTCTGACTCCTGATCTAGTCGCTGGAGAGAAATTTAATTCAGTGGAGGCACTAGGTGGCGCCAGCCTGACTCCTGGGCCCTGGGCTTGGGGCAGCGCCGTAGTCCTGTGGCGCACATGTTGGTGTGTTCACATGTGAGGTCCTCCTGACACACGGAGCAGCAGCCACAGTCCGGCTCCTGGACGGGACTCACCAACAGCAGCGGCGTAGCCACGTTTTGCATTATTATTTTATTCTCTATTTTGTGTCAACTTCTGGGTTCTTGTAAAACACCGAGTGTTTTCTGACTCTGATCCAGAGAGAAATGAAACTGAGCAGGAGACACGAGGAGGCGCCAGACTGAGGGTAAATTATTCTTTAGAATCGAAATAAATAAATTAAGTCAAATATCGGTCGACCAAGACTCTGGACGATTAATCGAAGACACACTCACACTAAGACTTAGATGTGCTCCAGCCTCACTTCTGTCACTCTGTCCCAGGGCGACTGTGGCTATAGAAGAATCCAACTACAGAGTCAGAGCAGATCTAAACCTGGTTCTGATTTAGTTAAGATTTAGTCCTGGTTTAGACCTGGTTTAGTCCTGGTTTAGACCTGGTTTAGT